TAGTCAGCTGAGCTCTAGGCTTTACAAAAGCTGAAGCAACTTAAAACTTGAATGATTGTATTTTGCGCCTCTTCTCAAACCCAAACTTTTTAAAAACTCTGTACACAGTGCCTGTTAAGATTGTACATACTGTACATGTATTTACATGTATTTAGCCCATAAAATAGAGTAATAGATACCTCCTATATCTGGTAATCAGATCTTTTTTTCTGACTTCTTCTGAGTAATGCACTAAACTAGTATCCGAATATGGAAGTGATCTTCGCAGTAATGAACACTACTCAAACAGTAGTGGAAATAAGCCATGAAAAATAATTCAGGCCTGTACGGGATTTGAACCCATGACTTTTGCGATGCCAGTGCAGCGCTCTACCAACTGAGCCAACAAGCTAACAGAGAGCTGGTCATCGTGTTGTTTTTAAATAAACCCGTGAGTTGATGAATAAACTCGTTCAATCAAGCTAGTTTCGCTAGAGAAAATCGGTTAAATGGACAAAGATTCTTATTTTTACAGTTTTGGGAGAAAGCCCCATAGGAAGTTCTGAGGCATGAGTTAAGATTTGAGATTAACAAACACTATGCAGCACGAGTGTCACTAACCGAGATGTTGATCACTGATTCTTTTCGCCTTCAGTATCTGAGCATAAAAGTCAATGTGATGATCTTATGTCCCAGTTATTATCTGAGGAGGATATGCGGAGACTTGCAGAACCTACACTGGGTGTGTTAGCCATAACCATAGAAGGGGTAAGTTTCTAAAGAAACTGTAGTGCTGCGTCGGCGGGAGACTATAACAAGGTAATTTAGTATTGTCAACTGAGTTGAAAACGCAAGTAGTAGGGATACAAAAAAAACCTGTTTCTGTTGCCATTTTTAAGCTTCAACTGCAGCGGAGTCAGTGCAGGCTAACAGCTCATTCACGATTCCACCAAAGCGTCACTTTGATTAAACTACCGAGTAAAGTAATAATTTTAGAGGGAATTCTTCTCTTCATACTTTGTGACGACTCTAACAGTGTGTTTATTCGTTCAGAAATGAACCTGGGTGGAAGCTAACGCAAGTTTCTTCTATTGATTACTGCTATGTACGGCTGCACCACATTCCTGTGTAGTATTCTAACATTATGCGTATTTCGTATCATATAAGGTATTTTTAATAGTCTGGGCTTCTCTCCACCCAGGAGTGTAGATGGGTTCCAGAAAACCATCACCTGACGAAATGTTGGGGGCGGGAAACATCCCTTCCAGGGGGAGAGTAGCGGTATTATTTGTCTCTTCATGCCATAAATACAGGGATTAGATCTGTCGAGATGAGCCTTCGGGCTCATAAGCTAATTTTGCCTCACATGTTTATTTACGAGTTGCCACTGTTTCAAGTGCGATGTCCATAACTGATGCACTGAATCATTTGAGGATCATTTCCTATATTCTCGTGACTGTAATTGTGACTCAGGGGTGATATTGTGAGGGGAAATCAGAAGCTAGTTACTCTGAGAGTTCAAAGGCTTTAGGGCTCTGTCCACACTTCTCAGTGAAGGGGTTTAATATTTCCGTCCATGAAAGTTTTTGGGGTGGTTTACAGATCGTTCACAGACTGCATTAACATCAAGAAATAGTTGTGTCACCATAAACGTTCCTACTGGAAAAGCAACAGGGAGGCTAATGGATATAGGATAAATAAGCGACTGCTGCAAACTTAGTGCTGATATAAAAAATCAACACTCGTTAATAAGAGATGTTTCGTTGCTTTCCACATTGCTCAAGGGGTTCTTAATTTCAGAATCCGCTTTACCGCTTGTCGTATGTTAGACTGACGCCAAAAATACATCACAGGGTTAAAGGGTAGAATTGAGAAAAAAAGTGTACTGCATAATACTTACAGAAGCCTTTTCTTACGAAAAAACTAGCGACAGATGTTGCAAGGTAGGGAAGGTAAAAAAATAGGAAAAGAAAGTACACCTAAAATGTGGTCATGGCAGATCTTCTGAGCTGTTTAAAGCGCATCCCGTGGTCTGTATTGGCCGACATAACTTGCATCTGGTGAAGGCGTGAGTGAATTTGTGCCTAATGTCGAATAATTACTCTATAAACTTCATAATACGCAAAGAAATTCACGCTTAACAAGACAAAACACTACGATAATAGCAAGGGCTAGATACAAAGCTGGCACTTGCCACACTTTCACAATGGAGGAGAAAGCAGACACCGTCCATATCACAGCAACTGCAAGAGCTGTTTTGTTAATGGAGACAAAACTGTTGTACCGTAGATAAAATTTTAGATCAATCATCCAATCCAGGCCGATGGCTGTGACGGTGAGGAAGGACACACCACAGAGACAGACGCAACGTTGTATGTGGTCATAGTAACGGGATATAATCTATCAAAGTTAACAACCAACTTCCTTAAGGTGTGGAAATAAAGAAAGGTTGGATCAGTAACCCTACTGTTAAGTCCGAGACTGCAAGGTTGCACATTAGCATTGTGGCAGAAGTGTGCAAAGAGGTTGTTTTCCAGATGGCGACCAAAACCAGCCTATTTGTGACAACTATTAGAGGGCTGAGAGGAACCTCTAGTATTATCAGTGAAATATCCAAGGCGGACATACTGTTGTCACACGATCTGTCCGTAGAATCGGGCTTTAAGCTTGTATTCATGTCCATAATGTTGTTCTTTTCCTCTCACTTATAGAGAAGCGAAATTATGTTGATCTATTTTATTTCAAAGGGATAGAGCAGATACAGGAACCTTTCTTTCTGATGTAAAAGAAGGGGTGGTTTATGAAAAACTTAATCCCAGGTTAAGAGTTTTTCACAAGTCTCAGACACAAATTAAGCCATCCATCAACGGTTGTGAAAGTGTGCAAAATAAGTAACATACAGATATGAAATTTGGCTTAGCTTCTCCCCCACCCCTCCCCCCTCTCTTTACATAGGAAAGCCTGTTGACTATTGACAATACGCCACATGGACCTAAATAATATGTTGTGACTATCAGAACTGAACTCGATCCGAGCAAAGGGGATAAGCTTCTAAAGAAACTGTAATGCTGCATCGGTGGGGGATATTACAAGGTAATTATATTGGTTTTAACAAACTGAGTTGATGATGCAAATTGGCCTCCATAATGCCGGAGTTTCTAAAGCTGACGACTCTAACGGTGTGTCTATTCCTTCATTTAGAAATGATCCTTGGTGCATGAGCATTTATGCAGAATGTGAGCGTTTTAACACAACCGATAAGTTTGAAAGTATTTAAAAGAGGTCCCCCCCACACCGAAAAAAAGGAAGGAAATAAGAGGCCAAAGTTATCTCTGTTTCGTGCAATGAAGATTATTGACAGGCTCCTTACGTCCACAAATTTTCTTCATTCGTCATAGGGACACAAAAACGAGTCACTTTTCGATTTAAGCAAAAAAAAAAAATAAACGTTTTCAGTTTAGTTGGCAACAAAAACGTGTGCATTGATATACGTGTCCAAAGGGTTCAAGTGTAGACCACTAAATGAGGGTCTTAATGGGGTTACCTGTCGCCGTAAAGCAAAATAAAAATTTAGGGTTTGAAACTGACAAATTTATACTATTAGTCGTAAGGAAGTTAACCGTAAAATTTTTCATATCAACGATGTGTCACTAAAAGTGTCATAATCTTAAACTGGTATGTACCTTGTCTGGAATTACCCTTATTGCTCGACTCTTACGGTAAAAGCAAGCGAGTAAATATGTTTCAGAACACAGTCCGAAGTTTTGGCTCAATGATTGGAAACACGTTGAAACCGGAAGTGTAATATATATAAAGTAGTGTAATTTATACCATTGTTTCATTGTTATTGATTAATGTTATTTTTTTCCGAAAGGCTATGCTGTTACTCAGTAACACTATGGTGTTTCAAAGTGTAGCAAACTTCAGTATCATGTGAGGCCTTACGAGAGCTGCCACCTGGCTCAATGAACACATTACCCCGTTTGATTTAATGAAAATAGTTCCGTCATGGTATTTCAAAAATAGTTTCCCTTCATATTTCGTAATTTATGATCCTTGGTAATCAACTGCCTCTGTCATTATTCTTGTTCTCGTTTTTGTTCTCTCCTTGTCGCTTTTTTCCTTTCCAGGAGAAGTATTTTTTACAATTTATTTCAAACACATGCAATAGGGTTCGCTAAGTTGTTTAAATATTTCATGCTGCACCTAAACTAAACAGCAGAGGAATACCCGAGTTAGATAACGACATCTATATTGAAAAATAAAATGTAGAGGAGAATGAATGGGTCCCAGGCTTAAACAGATGTTGTAATCCTCTCTCCGCTCTGTTTCCTCTACAACAACTGCAAATCAAGTCACTTTTACTTTTAGAAAATCAGGCCTTTTCCTGAGGAACGCTTGCAGTTCGAGTTTGGGACGGGATATTTTCTTATCCTTGAAAATCCTCAGGGGAGCAACTCACATAGAAATATTATTGAATATTGGTTTTATTACCAAGACTATACTCAGATTACAGTCAAGATGTAACCCTGAATACTAGAAAATATATATCCCCAAAAATGTTTAAAACTTTTGCACTACACCCCTGGTTACTGAAGCTTAAATCGTAATTAAAAGAATTCATGATTACACGATACAACAATAAATTCTAACATACTATTGGATAAATGAGACTAAAGCTTGTTCTCAAACGTCCATTAATTAGCTTCTTGAATAAAAATTTCCAACTCTATACCAATATTACAGTAAAGATGTAACTCTGAATACTAGTAAAGATATAACCCCAAAATTGTTTAAAGCTTTGCACTACAGCCTTGGCCACTGAAGCGGAGCAGATTACTTCATAATTAAAAAAGACACGATTACACGATACAACAATAAATTCTAACATACTATTGGATAAAAAAGACTAAAGTCTGTTTCTAAAACTTCAGTTGATTAGTTTCTTGAATTAGAATTGCCAACGAGAAGCGTTACAACGTTGATTCTCACCAGTTAAAGTGATGATAGAGCAGAAATGTTTACTTATCACCAAAGAACATATCTTGGTCTTCTTCGTAATCTTTCTCTCGTTTTTCAACTTTTTCGTCGTCTTCATATTCTTCTTCCATCTCATCGTCTTCCTCGCTCATATCGTCTTCATCATCTCCAGATTCTCCTCCTCCTCCTCCTGAGTGTTCGGGATTCTCTTCACCTGTTACCAAGGGAAAAAATAGTTCCACATATATATTTTCTCTTCCAAGATCTCATTAGTAGTTCTTTTTAATGTCTGTTTTACTATTCTAGTGATGTTAGTTAGACTCGTCAGGTCATAGTTATCATATTACAATCAAATATTACAGCAATAAAACATTATCAGAACGTTTCAACTTTTGGTTAATCTGTTTTATAGTTTTCATTGAGTGGTTATAATACCGTAACAAAAATTGCAATTCTTACGGCAGTTCTTAGACACGTAATAGGCAGACTTTTTGCAATGAGCATTCAATGCCCAATACTTGCCATTCTTGTTGCCATTAACTCACAGCTTTAATTTTATAAGGAATTCAGTTTAAGGGTAGTCCTCTGAATAATCAGACTGGGTTTGTTTAATTATTTTGCCAAATACAGCAAATCATAAACTTTTTTCGGGAAAATCTTGGCTTTATCGGTTTGACTTACAGTTTCTGGACCTATTGGCCTCTATCAATATGTTTTTCGCACACGGACAGTCTGCCAAATTTTTAGGGGCCGCACGCAAATGATAATAAATTGAATTCAAAGATTCTTATACATGACAATCACGACTCTATAATAGGTGAAAACTGGCCTTTTTACTGGCCGTTCGGTCGGATTTTGGAGATGCCAACGCTTGATGACTGTCATGTTTGACATGTTTGGAAGCGTCGTGTCTTTCTCTGTAGTTTCGCTCGCTCATTTGTATATTGATATGATTTAAAATGTCAAATTGCTTTTCTTCCATCTGCTTTACACCCTATCTGAGATCTGGGTCATATAAATAAAACCAGGGGACCACTCACCCCAGGCCCCGTCACGTGAAGTCAGTTCTGCACAAGGATGTTCGAAGCGCAAGAGATATTAGCAGATATCTCTCACTAAAAAGAAATCTGAACATCAGAGAAAAAACGCTCGGCTCTCACCTGACTTACAACCGTTTTTGGGATTAAATCCTCCTTGGCAATGGCAAACCTTTTTATTAGTGCAGACCTAGAAACATTTTGTAATGATTAAAATTTTAGTTAGAAAATTCTTTATGACTTCAGTGAAATTTCTTGATTCAAGTTACACTTATACATTCGAATTCACATTGCACTACTTTCCATTCAATCGTATTCACTTCCCAAAAAGACATCTGAATATTTTATGGCAATAGCTTAACTACGCAAGCTTCTATTAAAAGAGTTTCCAAGTCAGAGGCAGAAAAATTTCTGCGAATAATGCTGAGTCAATAAAAAATATAAGTTCGTTGAGAATCCATATGATTATTGTTTTCTTCTGACAGCTGTTCATTCCTTTCAAATTAAAGACAGTTAAGTGGGAAAAATTGATTTCGCTTGGACGATGGTGTAAAACATTAACTGCGTAGAATTTCCCGGCAAAACCTGGAAATATTAGCTCCTTTTTTTATGCTTCTCACGAACACAACATTAAGAATTACTTACCCCTCTTCCCGCACACTCTTTGTTGCCGACCACTGGACACTTGCCAACCAGATTGAGAGAACTTAGTGACTGGCACTTGTTGTTGATACACATCTTAAACAGACATAGACAGGAGTAAACTTTCAGACTAAGGTAAACATGTTAACCCGGAAAAAGGGTTCACAGTGTATTTATATAGACAGACAGCGTATTGTGGAGAGGTGGAATCGTGCGGAGGTTGGATGGAAATGAGATCACAGACTCACATTTGTTCTTAGAAGAACACCGAAAGCACTCTTCACTAAGTATTAACCCAGAACTTATTTTTCTAAAATTATATTCTCCATGTTCATAGAAATTTTTTTAACATGGAACTCTACTAACTCTTGTGACCTAATGGTTGATGTTCTTCCATACTATTCTTACGATGAATTGATTGTACAGAAAAATGTTTCCTAATGTGAGATGTAGCGTGAATCATGGTGTATGAAAGGGGTCGGTTTTTTTTCCAAAACGGCTTTGTATTTATGAAACAGGAAACGTTACAAGTGTGTGAGATTGTGTTTGGATATAAAATTAATAGCCTGCATGACGGGACGAATCCGGAAAGGGTATTAAAAAGAGGGCCATGGTATCGTACCTTATTGCGTCCACATTTCGTTCCTTCTCTTACCATTCCAAGTCCAACACTGTCACCACTTTTCAGTTCTACAGCGCTGTAAGAAGTAAAACCGCGTTTGACTAAGTGTTTTTGCATTTGTTGAAAATATGATCCAAAAGTGATGAAACAGTTTTTTTTCCAATTGTTAGTTTTAATGGTTTCGTTTCCAAAGATAGGTAAGGGAATTGAACAGAAGGCATCTAATGGAAGTTTAAATATGGATTTACTCAAACAAAGAAATTCCTAAGAGTCAAATCGCAAAGACAAAGTAAAAAACCACGAGTCTCGCGTTTTGAAACTCTTCCTTATTATCTAGCTTACGATAGGCACTTTATATGTTGACCCCTTTTTCTCAGAGGAACAAAAAGAAAGTAATACTAACTTGCATTTTTTCCCGGAAGGCAAAATAATTTTTTTGTCTCTGGCCCGTCCATAATCAACAACAGGTTTTTTTCTGCTTTCGTCCGCTTCACATTGCAGCTGGCCGCAC